CACTAGACATTGCCAAACATCCCTTGGTTGCAAGGAAGGAGAGGGACAAAATTGCCCGCAATTAATAACCATAGATTAAATCCATCCCAAAGACCAGCCACTGCCCATCTGGAGCCAAGTTTCTCCTCACAGGAAACCTTAGGTACAGGCAGACATAAAACAGTGCAAGTCCCTTTTGGGTCTCACTCATCTGAAATTTAGACTCGAAGAGACGGCCACATTCGGTCTGTGCTCCAAGATGCGCTTTACAAGACCTTGCAAAAGAATAAGGAATATTATTCAAGGGGTAAAGCTACCCCTCTAATCAAGCTGACAATGATGAAATCATGCTCTTGGCTCTTATAAACACAATCATGATTTTGTTAAATGAGGTTAACAATTTCTGTAAAACCAGTAAACAGTTAATTTGGCATAAATAAGCTTGTTCTACCACAAATTGTCTTCGTAAACAGGGCCAACAGCCTTGCCATTTGTGTGCCAAGAAATTCAGAGAAACCAGGCGAAAGCGAGCAATTCCATGGAGCCCAGCCCCGTAACTAGACAAGGACAAAACACGAAATCCTCATCCAAATAACACTGGCTCAGAGTTTACCTTTGTATATTGAGGGTAGCAAATAAATACAAGTAGAATCCCATGATTATACAGCATTTGAATTTAGAGTTCTGTTTAGCAAAACTGTATCCATGTCTTTGGGGATGGCTCATCATAATAGCATTTTACTGATGTGGTTTCAGAAAATCCTATTAAATGAAAAATCGTGTAGAACAGATGTGTTCACAACTCCCTGTCCACATAGCAGCCAATCTGCTTAATGAAAACATTGCTATGGTTACAAATTAGGGCTTCCTACTGTTACGGTATTGTTTTATTAGGGTCTCAGAGGAATAAAGAAGGTTGGAAAGGAATGAGGGTAAAGAAATTGCCAGGACTAGGGGTCAGGGATAGAATATCCACAAGGAAAGTACCTCAATATGGTGCAGAGGAAGGGAGATGAAAAAGAAGGTGCTATTTTAATACAGAGAGAAATAGCAAAAGGAGACATACAATGTCTGCTTTATTTTGATAAACTAAATCAAGGAAATAACACCGCCTCTGCATTGTTTAACAGGTTCCATTGGAATAAAAGTGGAATGTAACAAAACTACTTCCATCTCCCTCAAATTATGAGATTTTACCAGTATTCATGCACTATTCCCTATCCAGATTCATCCTGGTACCAGGGGAGTCCTACTTCCACCACAAAGGCCATGGATGAAACTGTATTTGGTTTCTCTACACCAGTTCAATTTGTAGCTGCTGGCTTTAGAGTACTGAGTTGTTTGCTTTGTCTCCCAAGCAAGCAGGAACAACCCCACTTAAGGATCTGCTGCAGAGAGGCTGCCTGCACAGTGCTAAAGACAAATTATAACCTCCGAAAATTCCTATGCTGAGCTCTAATCCGCAAAGTGATGGTATTGGGAGATGGGGTCTTCGGTAAGTAATTAGGTCATGAGGGTAGAGCTCCCAAAAATCAAATTCCTGTTGTTATAAGAAAAGACCAGAGAGATTTCTGTCTGCCCCCCTCTCTCCCTGCCTCTGTTTTTCCATCCCTGTCCCCCACCTCTCTATGCCATGTGAGGACAGAATGAGAAGGCAGCTATCTACAAGCCTGCAAGAGAGGAAATCAGCCAGCAGCTTGATGTTACACTTTGAAGCCTCCAGAACTGTAACAAATAAATGTCTTTTGTTTAAACCATCCGATCTATGGTATTCTGTTATGGCAGTCTGAGCTGAGACATACAGGGGTGTAACTCATTTCTCTTTCTTCTCCACGTATATTTACATGTAACAGAAATCACCCAGCATGATCCTTGCCCTCAAAGAGCTGCACTTTAATTAATACATGGCCCAAATCCCACATATACCCAATTCATTTTGAAACCACAGGAAGGCAAATTCTATCCTGTTAAAAATAATTTTTTTTAAAGCCAGCAATTTAATTTTGGATGGTGACACAGTGGGCTAGTCAACATAAAGGTTAACCTTGGGAAGAATAATGCTGGCAGTTTTAAAAGACACAAACAGAAGCATAAAACATCAATTTATTCTTGAACATTAACCCTGGCTAAGAGCTACTGAAAGTGTTGCAATTTTTGTCATATAACATGATTCTCCCCAAGAGGCCACCAAACATTTTTAACTTGAACAGTTGAGTTTTCTTTTAAAAAGTAAAAAGTTTAGATTAAAACTAGGAATTGCCTCTCATTAAAAGACATGTACAACAAATATTTTTGTAAACCCTGTCCCCTAAGACATTTCCGAAGTGACACCAACTGTATTTTTACAGATCTCTAAAACCACCTGCAATAGTATTAGTTTCCTTCCAGCTCTTGTCAAAAGAATAAATTAATAACAACTGTCATCTGCATTTGCTAATGCAATAAGTCAGTGAGTTTGGTAATATTATCATCCCCATTTTTCAGAGAAATCAGTGGATGCTAGAGAGGAAAAGAAATTTGCCAAATGTTAATCAACTCAAAAATGGTATGGCTAGCTCACTGGAGATGGCTGGTAATTATAGATCTGCTTTGGTTATGTAACTGTATTCCTATTAGGGTAATGTGTGTGCACAATTTAATTAGTAGTTTAAAACCTATACATGCTTAAGTTACTCTACAAGAAGATATGTCAAAGAAATAATCAATCCTCCCATGTTTTCTTCCGTCTGCTACCTCTATAGCTTTTCTTCTTCCTTCCTAATTACAACCCTTAAATAGAATTCGTGCCTCATATCGAATTTACCGAGTATCATAATTCCTCCAGGTGGTAAAGATACCTCGAGACAAGTGCTGGGCATAGAAGCCACAGGGCATAAATCTGCAAAGAAGTAAAAAGCTAACCTTTGCAAACAATATGGCTTCTCTCTCACTTACCAACTTTACATTTCCCTGTATGGCCCCGGAAGATGACTGGTTAGCCAGAGACGGGTAAGATTCCTCAAGGGAGGAACAACCTAAGACAGGCACAGTCGCAGGGGGGCCATCAGGTGAGAATTTGGGGATCAACAGAGGTGAGGCTCAGAACCTCACCCCCCCTGCTTTGAGAGAAATCTTCTGCATCCGTGGATGTTTTGCTGCCCTTGTCTAGCCTGGATTAATACTTAGTCCATAGGCACACACCTGATCATCTGATCATCTACATTTGCCCTCTTACAGCACTAAACTATGTTTTCTACCTTTATCTTGCATCTACCTACCACTTCAGCATTTTATTAAAAATAAAAATAATAATAATAATAAAGGGAGAAATGTGGGATCCACATATAAATCAAGTATAAAAATCAAACGAATATTCATATTTGACCTGATTGTTTATAGTTCATAATGCGTGATCAAAACCGAAAGTTTCTGTGATGACTGCCCTTGCACTGTTCACCATGTAAGAACTTATTCACTATGTAAGAATTCGTTCGCCATGTAAGAACTTGTTCGTTATGCTTCAGAAGATTGGACGCTGATGAGAATTAGGCTTGAGATGGATTAATGATTGTGCATCAAGCATTGACTCCCCTATACAGAATTTTATTGTTGTTAACAACCATTTGATCAATAAATATGAGAGATGCCCTCTCAAAAAAAAAAAATGGTACAGCTAGGATTCAGCAGAACCAACAGGCTTTTATAGGGCCCACCTTGTCCTCCCCACATAAATGAATGATGGCCTTTGGCCTTCCCCACCAAACACTCACACACATACAAGACAGCTTGTTTCAGAGACCGATTACAACCCACCATGTATTTAAGAAAACTGTCACAAACCTGGGGTCTTTGACAACCAATTTTCTCCTTATGGTCTCCAGTTCTTGTTTTGATTACTTAACGACTCTTAAGTTAGACTGAAAGTAAAACATTCAGCTGGTTGGGGGCCTGTTGGGTTCCCCAAGGACACCCAGACCCACCAAGTCTCCAGGAGATGCTGCTTCAACAGCACGTACTATTATCAATTCAAATAATCCACATAGAAAGCCATGAAGCCTGTCCTATCTGCCTTAGTAATTAATTAATCAATCAAATAAAGCTTTCCTTCTTTGTTTTCATTTTTGTTTTTTGGAAGCCTTCCTATGATGATTCATTTGCCTGCTAAAACTATGCTATTCTAGAATTGTTTACAAACATGCATTGACTTGAAATAAAGGTTGCTTAGCATTTTCCTATCCCTCTGACTTCAGAGACCACCGTGAACACAGGTTGTAAATGAAAACATTGTGCTAAATTGCCTGGACCTTGCATAGAATATTCAAAGCAGAAAAACACGTGGCAGGCTTCCCGGCTAGTGACTAAAATAAGTGAGAGACTAATATAGTAGTTCAGTGCACCCTTGCTGGGATGAGATCGGCTTGAGTTGCCATTTTGGCCTAACTGTTTTCACTAATACTGAGAATTTGGGCAAATTATTTAAACTTTCTGTGCCTCAGTTTCCTTATCTGTAAAATGGGCCTGATAATAACAGAACTCACCTCTTTGCCTTATTGGGAGAATTAAGTGAGTAAATAGAGGCAAAGTGTTTCAAAAACCACCAAGCACATAGAAAGTGCTATGGATGTATTAACCATTTATTCCTATCATAGCAATGTAAAAAAAAAAAAAAAAACTCCCCCTTGATACTTCAGGGACAGAAAATAATTTTTAAAGTAGTTCCAGGATGAAAACACACCTACATTTTCTCCCCTTCCTGTTTCCAAGTCAGAGCCCCTGGGCCAGATCTAGCCTCCTCCCTGTTTTTGCACAACCAGCAAGCTAAGAATGGCTTTTACATTTTCCAACGGTTGAAAGAAAAAAATCAGAAGAAGAATGCACCTGGAAATTTTGTGAAATGTAAGTTTTAGCACCCATAAAGTGTTAACTGGCGCCCAGCAACACTCCCTCATTTATGCCATGTCTGTGGCTGCTTTTACACTACAGAGGAGAGCTGAACAGTTGTGACAGACCTACCAGCCCACAAAGCCTAAAGCATTTATTACCTGCCTCGCAGAAGATGTTTGCCAGCCCATATTACAGGGGCTTGGGGGATGCAGCCTGATCCTGCAAACTGAGGGAGACAGGGCCTGAAAGGAAAAAATTGTTTTCAGGAAAAATCACATGATAAAACTTCACTGCTTAGTATTATTCCTTCTGAAGAGTCCAAAAAAAGGTATAGCAAAGAAATCCATTGAAACTGTATGCTAAATTTTAATGACAAACTAAATTTTGCATATTCTGTGAGACTGGATTATTCATAATAAAAAGTGGTCTGAGCTCACATTATAGACATTCCATTTTTTATACAAAAATTTTGTACAGCAGCTAAAAGTGTATAGGCCACACTATTTTGATCACCCTGCATCACCTGCTTTAGTGCTTTCTTTTCCTCATTTCAACACATTGCATTTTTTTCCCCCTTTTAAAAGTTAAATGCTGAATCTGAAAAACCAAAGATTAACCATGGGTAGGTTTACCTCACCTCCCACTTTCTCATTTGTCTCTTCTCATCCCCGGGGAAGAATTTGTTCTTTCTTTTCTCAATAGCCACAACCCTGTCCTTAGTCTTCTATGCTTTTTTTCACACTCTATTTCTAAAATATTCATGTTTAGACTGTTCTCATCAAGATGTCCTCACCGGAAGCCATCCTGCTACCTCAACTTCCCTTGTCACCCAGAAAATTTTTACACTTTGGTGAGGCAAAGTTAAAGAAAAATAAAATAGAAAGTCCTGTTCATGTTCATAGTTTTTATTACTTATTTTAAGTATTTTCATTATGGAATCACTTTTTTCCTAAACATTGTTTTCTCACCAGGTCATGCTATGACAGCTTTGGGTGTGATGCAGTTGGGAGAGAGTTCAGATCCTGGAGTTCATTTAAGGTGAAGGGAGAAAGGGCCCCTGCCCTCACCTTCCTGGCCGTGGCTTCTAACTCCTCCATGATGGGTGCAAAGGACAGAAGGAGAGGGAAGGAGACAGGGAAGAAACCACTTGACTGGCACCCATGTCCTCAAGCTTTAGTTCTGGCTGAAAAAAGCCCATTCTGATGTGGGATGCTCTGGGGGGTCTTTGGACAGCATCTGAAGTTGCCTTGAGGAGGGGAAATGAATCTTCTTGCTGAGAGTTTAGGATTCCTCCTCCAGCCCTGGCATCTAGTGGCGTATCTTCAACCCCTCTCTGCTGATGTCTCCTTGGTTCTTCCAGGAGGATCTCAAACAGTTCCACACTGGTGCTCTCCTACGTGGCCTTCACCTGGGCCCCAGGTGGCAGGACCGTGTGACCCACCTCCACACAGAGCCAAGTCCCCAGCTGCCAGAGGCAGTGCAGCCAGCCTCACACCTGTGGGAGCTTTTTTGTGGGCATATGCTCAAAACTATAGGGTTCCCTCTCAAGCTTTGCAAACAAGCCCCATAAAGCCCTCTCTTTAAAGAGGAATTTAAGAAGAACCCCATTAATGTTGGAAGGTGAGAGCACAGGCCAGAAAATATGAACCCTGGATGAAAGGTGAAACTCAAAGCCCATCTTTTCCCTAACAAATCCTCTCTCCAAACTCCTGGTTTTTCTCCTGGACTCCAGGGCCCCTTTCATAACCTAGGATAGGGGCCACCTAAGGGTCATAACACAGGATTTAGAAGTCCCAATTAGGAGACCCAGTTTCTCACTTTGGAATATGGAAGTAGTTGAGACTTATTATCCTGGCATCTCAACTAAAAGGGAGACAGGCAAGAGTCCTAGGAAAGGATAAACTCTTCATCTCACAGATTTAAATTTACCCTTGAATTTCTTTTTTATCTCAGAAGGGATAAAGAAAAAGATACATTTTCTCAAAATGTCTTTTTCGGCTTTCAAAATCCTCAACCTGGGAAATAAAATATGCAACAACCCACGTAAGCATGTTCTTAAAACAAGCCAACAGATCAAACACCTTTGATGCATGGCTAAAATCTGAGGCCATGACAAAAATCTTAATCTCATTTTTCTTTTCAGTCTCTCAGCTTCTGTCTTTTACTTTGATCCACCCTGCATAAAGCTATTGGCAAACATATCCCTGATTTTGATCTTATGTTCTATACCTAAATTCACACACCTTTACATTTGCCTTATAATAGAGACAGCAACCTATAAATGATGACACAGCAGTGACTCAGAAGTTTGAAGCCCTCCCAACAACTACCTCACCTCTTTATATGGGGCTTCATCCAAAATTCTCCGCTGGGAAGCTTCCTTGATGATTTAGGGGCCACCAGACAAACAGGCAACTGCCTTCCTCGAGTGCTAGCAGACATCACCCAAGGAGACTCAAATATGAGGACAAAGGAAAATAATCACTTTGTTTTCTGGAAGGCAATAATCAACATTTGCTTTATTATCATTGTGTAAGTATTATTCAGTATGGAAAAGGTGCTACACCAAAATGACATTTTCTTCTTCATGGGTCCACTTTTTTTTTTTATATCATTAATCTACACTTACATGAGCAACATTATGTTTACCAGACTCCCCCCCTCATCAAGTCCCCCCCACATACCCCATTACAGTCACTGTCCATCAGCGTGGTTCGGGTCCACGTTTTAACTGCTCAGCCACCTACAGAGAATGGCCCTTTCCCTGAATTTCATCAGCTGTTCAAAATCAAGCCACATTTTAGTTTGCTTCTTATCTGGACTGTGGCTTTCCTGTGACTTTTTTTTTTCCCGACAAATTCCAATTGGCTTTCTTTTTCTGTACTGAAAAAGAGAAATATGTGCCTTCTAAGAAAACAATCTCTTTGAATGAAGAAATAAACATGCGGCACAGGTTTGGATACCAGAAACCTAGGATAACAGAATGAGGATAGAAGGGAGAGGTTGACAATTGACATAAAGAGGCAGACAAATGACAGGCCACGCTGAGCAGTTTTTTTATTTTCTGGGCCACCATCTGATCATCTCTAAATGTAAGGACGTGAAGAAAGTGATTCCTAAAATTCCAGGATCTTAATGAGCATTGAGACGATTATGTCTCCCTTATGTTGATTTTCTTTGAGCATCAATTTTAACTAGATTCATCAGGATACAAATAAGGAACATTCCATAACAATTCCCTACAACAGGGATAGGCAGATTATGGGCCGCTAGTGACATCCAGACTGCCTCCTGTTTTGTACAACTTGCAAGCCAAGATTTTTTTTTTAATGGTTGAGAAGAACCAAAAGAAAAACATCTTATGATGTGTGAAAATCATATGAAATTTAAGCTTCAGTTTCCTTAAAATAGTTTCATCAGAACGGGGCCAGGCTCATTTGTTTACATGTGGTCCATGGCCACTTTCACACCTAGGTGACCAGGTAGAGGAGGTGCCACAGAGGATGACGAGCAGCACAAAACATGGAATATTTCTTCTGTCCTTTCACAGGGACTTTGTCAGCATGGCTCTACAATCAATCATTAAAAAGGCCACGAACGAGGAGGCTGCATCTGCAGAAAGAGGCGATCTCTGTTCCAGTTCACTCCCTAAATCCAAGGCAAACATCCTCAAATTAGCATTGGCATCTCCACCTTCTATGCAAAATAAAAACACTCCCAGGGGGTCTTTCTGAGCATCCCAGAAGAATGAAATGGGGTGAGGAGCGGAGATGGAAGGGACTTGCTTTAGCCATTTCTCACGTACAAATGATCTAAAAATTGACCGTCTTTGCACTACTGGTAAACCAAAGGGATTGAGCCAGATAATCTCTACTTTATTCTAACCAGACTAAACAGCTCCGATTTCCTCTATTTTTATTCTCTTTTAGGTCTCAGCTTTTCAAAACTGTACTGTTGTCCCATTTAGAGTCATTATGAAAATAGATTAGAAGTCATCCTTAGAATATTAGCTTAGAGATACTGGGGACTTTCATACTAGACTCCTGAAACCTATAAAAGGTAGTACCTTACCATCTCCTAATGCCTCCTTCCCAAGATACGTTGGGAACGTGTAAGCCGACAGGGAGCTCATACTTGCAGGTCGACTAACAATCGATAATTAGCAGTAGAGTATAAGCTCCTCGGTGAAACCGCAAATACCCTCAATTAAATAGATAATCCCTCACAGGTGGAATGCCTATCAGCTTCTGTTCACCGCCAAGAGACGCAGTACCCAGCAAAATGCTATTATAGACTGTAGTTGACTAAATGTTTTATTTTTACTTTTTTCATTTCATATTGCAATTGAGTGTTAATTCATAATTTAATTCTGGATATTTTGATATGTTTTAATACAGTTATATTGATTTAAATAAGCATGCACATCACTGTGCAATATATAAGGAATTCTACACACACACATGAAATACAATACATGCACTGCCTGTCCCTAAAGACCACTGCAGAGATGTGATGTAACACAGACCAAAATAATATCCATTCACTAGGGGAGAATCTATCATGTGAAGTGAGCACTGTGAAAACAGTTTCCCAAAATGACAAGTAAATACAACCCATTTGTAAATATGCATGAAGCCAACAGCAAATTCCTAGGGAAGCAACACCGATAGCTTTTAACTGTTGAATCTGGGTGAACATTTGGGAATACGACAAACCAACAAACACATCTCCTAAGTAATGGTGAAGATATTCTTTGGACAAACCTCCACTAGAAGTTATTATTTTTCCTACTAAAGCCAAGGATATTTATAGAATTTTTCTCATCACAGCATGAATTCCCAGGCACTTGCAGAGGCTTATCTACAAAAGGCATTAGCAGAGCCAATCACAATGAGAATTTGAAGGAAGTCTGCATCATCAGCATTTGTATGGATTAGGCAGTTCACTACATAGAGCATAAGGTATTAAAATAATAGAAACACAGTGGCTAAAAGTCTCTGTACTTTGGAGACTTAACACAGAATATACATTAACTGACCCAGAGTCTCACTCCTGAGTTCAAAGAAAACTTTCTCTTACTGTTAAAAAAGTACCACACGCACCAACTTCTACTAGCCTTTGTAGTCTATGCCCTGGACCCCCCAAAAAAGGGAACTTTCAGGGTTCTTGTCTCTATGTAATGAAAACTAACTCTGATTACTTGAAGGCAAAAGGCAATTTATCTGAAAGATGTGGGGTAGGTCCCAGGATTAAGGTAAAAGCTAGCCAATCAAGCACAGAAAGGGAGCAAAATAGGGAGACAAGAAACACAGCCAGAATCATGACAATGGAAGAATCTGCACAGGGCCCCATGTGGCCCCATTACACCAGCACCATGGCTGGCCCTGGACAGGGAATGCTGCCTGCCTTGGCATCACTGCCACTAGGTCCTGGAAGACACAGCCATGCCTCTAAGACAAATTCTAGAATGCCCTCTCCTTCTTTGCACCACTGTATCAGAGCCAGAGTGCAAGGGAAGACTAGGCTTCCTGAGAGAAGAGTATCTGGAAACAGACTTCCGTAGTGGGAATTGGGGTCCTCCTTCCACTGATCTTAAGCTTTCCCCAAACTAGGGGTGGTTTTCAGATGCAAGACCAACATCCTTTCTGCATGTGCCTTCCCTCCCTCAAGGGATAATAAATGAACACAAGCATCACCATTACACAAGAAAGAAAACAAATTACAATGCATAATGACATGTAATTCTAGGGACTCCCTACACTAACTGCTCCACGGTCAATCCAATCATATAGAGAAATAACAACACCATTATGTGAGGTCAACTCACTGACTTTTGCCTTGGGACATCTTGGGAAGGAGGCATTTGGAGACGTTAAGGTACTACCTTTTATAGGCTTCAGGAGTCTAGTATGAAAGTCCCCAGTATCTCTAAGCTAATATTCTAAGGATGACTATGGAAGTTGAGGTCAGCATCAGCTCCTCTCATCCCTTCCACAGCTCTGGGAATTAGGCTCTCCGGTCACACCGAACATGACCGTTCGGGTAGTTGAGGAAGACAGTGGAGGACAGACGGTGAGAGAGTAGGTCCCAGGGAAAGCAGGAAAAGCCTAAATGTCCGTGTTCACCCCAACAATGAAAAGCATGAATTTCGGCTTTCAGTCCACAGCAACAGGGAAGAGATCAGGACTGGAGCATCCGCAACTAACACGGAGACAATTACAGATGTTCACAGCAGCAAGAGTCTCTGGTCAGCTCCTGGCCAGTCCAGCTATGGAAGGCTAATCAACACCGTTATGTGAGGTCAACTCACTGACTTTTGCCTTGGGCCACAAAGCCCCTGACTCACTCAAGCCCCTCACATGAGGGACCCTCAGTCCTGGGGCGCATCAAAATTGAGAGCCATTGAGTTTCTAATTGTTTCTGTTTCATAACTGAAAAGAAACTCAGACCTCTTTTCTAAACTTCTTTAGACAGGAATGTTCTGTTTACTCAATTGCCCAGCTGGGTTGTAAAGTGCTGACACCTAATGCTGAGAGATAACAAGACAGGCCGAAGGAATGGTTTTTGTTTGGGGAAGAAAAAATGGCCCCATTTTAAAAAGACACACATTTGTTGACCCCATGTACATTGCGATATGGTAAGTACCTCTTCTATACTATTAAAAAATACTCTTCAGACTATCCATATGCCTTTGATAGGAGAATTCTTTCTTACTGACTGTAACCACAAACATTTGTCAGACCCAAGAGAAGAAGGTGGTGCCTGCTGAGAAAAGTAGTAAGTGCCCAATCTTCATGCAGAAGTTGGAACCTGGTGCCAAAGGGCTCGGTACAGCCTAGGATCAAGTCAAGTTTTTCCTGCTTCTCTCTCCAGCCTCCCATGATGAGGCCGCAGATATATAAGGGTCTGGTGGCATTCTGGGCTGGTGAACTAACACAGGATGAGACCACTTTCATTCAGCCCAGTAGTGGGAAGGGGCTGAGCAGCCGTGCCACAAGCCGGACATATCCACACAACCCTCCTAAGGTTGGGCTAAGGTGTCCTGTAATGAGGCATTAACATCTAATAAATAATAAGTAAATATCATCATAAAGCACTTTGCAAATGGAGACTATATGAGTACCCGTCCTTAATAATAACAGTGCTCTAGGTATCCCCAACATTCAGGAAGCAATTTAGACATAGGCAGCCCCAGCAGGGAAACCACTAATGTACAAACAGCTGACACAAAGTGTTTCTGAATACTTACTCTGGCTGGAAGGCTGCCCAGGAAAGAAGCAAGCCTACTGAGCTCTTGAAGTGGTCTCTGAGAGTTCCCCCGAAGATGCAAACATTGCCAGGGAAAATCATTCCACTTCCTTAAGGAGTATTTGGAGCAGCAATCTCCTTTGTAGATATACAAAAGTGGCCCCCTTCCGAGTCCTTGGAAGAAACAGAAATTTAAATGGCACCAAAGGCTCAGCCACGTTCAGAATCACAATTAAGATGAATAAGAAGACTTCAAGGAGAAAGTCAAATAGCAGATGTCCACTAACACAATTTCAAAAGGAACTCCAATTCCCTTATATTCTGATTTTTTGAATGAATTATTTTCCTTGAATTATTCTGCAGATGTATATTTTTTGCAGATGTATATATTCTGCAGATGTAATTTTGTATATATTTCATCATAGTATTTATGAAAACTTGGCAGCCTTCACTCATTTCTCCATTCTCTGAAGGTTTCAGTGCACTAAAAGTGGGTACTCCACAGACAGATTATATTTTGTCTCATAACATTCTTTAATTTTTCTGTGTACTTACACTTTTCTCTGCATCTCCATGTTACACCCCTAGAGCACAAGAACAATGTCTCGGGCACTGCTTTTCGGTAACACTCATCAGTAGATTTGTTGGATGATGAAACAGATGTAATAGGGATCTTCTCACTGGACATTTCCAATCTCAATATTCAGAACACTTCAAGCAATTTTTTAGGTATAATTAAGGTGGCCATTCAGTGAACTGTGCCTTAGCCTGAAGTTCACCTACTTCATAATGCAAGTTAATCATTTCAGCAACATCTCAGGGGAGAACATTCAGGACTTGAGGACAAACCCAATGTGCTCCAAACTTGCTAAGTTCTTGTTTGCTTCACAACTGACAGGCAAACCCGGTTCAATTAAAGAGGAGGGAAAAGCTTAGTAGTTTTTCTAACAAAGCATTTTGGAACACTTTGAGGCCTCTGTCTTTTGAGTGCTTTTTAAAAGCTATACCTTATAGAGTTTTCCATTTATCTACAAAAGGAGGGTAGAGTCAGTGCCCCCCAAGCAAACAGCACAGAGATATTGAAGGAAAAACCAAACTCATTCCCAACTGGTTCCAACATTTGGAAGTATTCTTTCATGCTTTTTTTGATACTCAAATATATCAAGACATGTTTATTCACATGTAGTTTTGCTTTTTGTTTGGAGGGATTTATCTATTTACTTGATTACTTATTTATTTGCAAAACCGAGAACAATACTATGCACATTACTTCATAACTTGCTTCCTTGTTACTTGACAATGTGTAAGGGACACTCTTCCAGGTCACCCCACCCGTCGTTCTCCTTCTTATTAATACTCGTGTTATATTCCCTTATATAGATGCACTATCTTCTTTCTTTTTTCAACTTTTCCTATTGTTGAACATGCAGGTTTTTCCCAACAGCTCATTTCATGTGTCTGGACCTCTGTGTGCACTCCAAGCTTCTGGTCCATCCTAAAATTTGGAATCATCTAAAATAAAATCCAGTCCTTAGGAAAAAAACAACTATTTTCTGGGTCAAATTAATAAATATTTACTTAATTGAATTTCTGAAGTTACTGTGGTTTTGAACTTTAAAACATTTACTAGCCCTGAGGAGTGCCAGAATGTACTAGAGTCACATCCTTTATAACAGGGAATGTTCACATTTCTACAATTCCTTTAAAGTAATTAAAATAAGGGGTTGAGAGTTCTGGCACATGTCTATTACTATATCCCAGGAATTCAGTTGTTGATATATATATTTACACAAACATTTTCTACTAGGTGTTCTGCAGAACACTGTCCGGGGAGATGTTAATAGTGGTCAAATAAGTTTAGGCAAATGCTGTTTTAAGTTAAACAAACAACTTTTTTAGTTCTGATTTTCTTGTGAAAGTGATCGCTTCCCAATCTCTTCTGCTCACTTGGCCTTCAAGCCATGAGAACATCTAGTCTGATCACTGCAATAATGAGAGAACTTAATACCACCAGCCCCCAGTACCATGCAGGCAGAGTCACTGGGCATTAAATATATACAGTACCTCCAACAATCCGCCTGCCCCTCTCCACACTCCCCGTTATCCCGTTCACATTGCTCCTTGCTGAAATATTAAGCAATCAGTCAAGACAGAAGTAAAAAATCATCTTCCTCACTTATTCTGTGCCCTCAATCTTTTTTATTCTTGAAACTGAAATGAAAATGACATTTGGATTCGCCTTTTAAAGTTTATCATTCAAAGAAACTACCTGAAAATACAGGACAAAGTGGCTTAGTTTAACTTAGAAATCAGAATGCACCTTAACCACAGGTTTATGGCTATTCAATCCTCACCTCGAGCAGTAGAGGGAAATGAGGCCTGGCCTTCATGCGCTTGCATCCGGGAAAGCGGAGGCACACCCGAGGAATTCAAAATGGCCTGAGTCCTTTTCACAAAGCCCAGCCGGGCCCTGCCACCCACCCCCACTTACAGTTCGACTCTTTTATTTACATCAAAGTCACAGGAATTAATAATTCACAGGAGTTATTTTTTCTAACTGTGAAATACAAAATATTTGACCTGAGCTTCTACTCCTTGGGAATAACTGTGCTAGAGCCTGAGACTAAAAGAAACTCTTTCTGAGAGACTAGCTCTAACTGGAACAATAGGCCAAACGCATGAAGATAAGGACCACAGGATGGGAAGCGGGAAGAGCCAAACAGGATTGCCACTGTTCTTGGAAGTGAGAAGTCCTGCATTTTCCAGAACAAGATTTTTCAGGCAGACATGAGAACCAACTGAATCAAAGTACCCTGGGCTTGCTTTAAAAAAAATCTGAACCAGACCAGAGCCACCCCATCAGACCACAAAGGTGGGTGCCCTGCAATCTATCCTTTTACCTAGTACCTCAGGGGATTCTGATGACACATAAACTTTAAAACCAGAGGACAGTGGTTCTCTACCTGTGGTTCGCAGGCCAGCAGCATCCAAAGTGCCTGGATTTGGAAGAGAGGCAGGTTTTCTTCCCCACCACAGACCTACTGAATCAGAAATTCTGGCAGGGGGCTCAGCCATACCTATTCAACAAGCCAGCCGGGTGACTCCGGTGCGTGCCAGAGTTCGAGAACCACTGCTACAGCATGCTTCTGCAGAGCTCAGTTTGGAAAATATTGCAATGGCCTGTGAGAACACCACAAATTAAAGAAGGGAGCTATCACTTAAAGCCGGGACAACATACAGGCCCTTAAAAGAGGAGCTCATGTTTAGGGCAGGGCATCTAGATTATGGATTACTTGGTGGAAAGAAGACAAGACATTTGAGACAGAGGGAAAAATGTGAGAAAATTACAATGGGCAGAAATATGCATCTTCCCAGGGCCAATATCAGTTCAGTGAGTGTGAACACTTCATGCCATTTTTGAGTTGTGGGAATTCCAGCTGGACAGGCATGCGAAGCTTGGAATGTGGGAGAACATAAAAGTAACAATAGAGAGTGTGGACTTTCTTGTTCAGGTGTTAAGGATGCATTGAAGGATAATGAGCTGAGACGTAACAAGATACAAGATGGAATCTAGGAAATACAATCATGCATTAGTGCACGTAGGGCAACAGAGCAGAGAGTCTAAAAGTGGGTCACTACATTAAAAGTCTTGCAATATTCCAGAAATAAAGCAATAAGGGTCTGAATTCAGGTGACAGCTATAAGAAGCGATCCGGGAGACTTAACCAAGTAAAAAGGAGGCTGTGCTGGGTGTGCGGAGATGCGGGAGCACGAAGGAGGAGTAGAAATAGGAGAGCAAGAGGGAAGGAAAGTGGCCCAGATGACCACCCAGCTTCAGGGTAACAAACCAGGGGCATTTACCAACACAAGACATTCTGAAGCAGGTACAGGTTTGGGGGAACAAGTGGGCCTTTCACATTCTCTCTCACCTCTATCTCCATGCCTTGCATCACTTGCACTTCTCAGAACAAATTGGCCTGTAGTGTAGGAGAAATAGATAATAATTCGATAAGACAGATACAAGCCAGATGCCAAGGGCCCTCCAGTTTATGAAGAGAGTAAGTCTAAAATTAAGAAGAGTTTTTGTTTCTTCATATCACATGTGGAGAGCAACTACCACCATAAGCTAGCTAAAGATACCCCGATTAGCTCGTATGCATGCCTGACCTAAAGCAGCTGACACTTTGAATTCGCCAACAGGAAACTTGTTGTAACCTTTGCCTTCTCGTGCAGACATATCAACTTGGAAACCATCTGAAAGCAAGTTGTTTCTTCTGCCTCCTCTCATTAATGCTATGAAAGTATATTACAAAAGCACATAAAAAATTTTGGGGTGTAGGAAAACCTGCACAGTGCCAGCATTCTTGCACATTCTTTCCACTGCTGGCAAGCCTTCTAGAAAGCAGCGCTTCAACTCCTGAGTGCACTGATGGGTGCCAGAAAGATTAAAAAGCAATAAAGCATTAAAGGTCACTTTCTGGTTTTAAGATTTGGAGATGGCCTGGCTCCAGGCACAACTGACTCAGAGGCTCTACCAAGCAGAGTCAGGCCGTGGTCCACAGAGGTGGTACTCAGAGGACAGGCAACACACCCAGGACGGGAGGCAGGAGTGCCTGACGGAAACTACCACTACCAACTGAAAGGGCTCCCAATGGCCAGAGCTAGAACAATTTGAGCAATAAAATAAATGACATAGTACTGCATTAGCTGTATAAGCTGATACATAAAAATAACATAGCATTGGATTATATATAACAAACCCATATATAAAAAATAAATTAATAGCCATAGGCCATCCTGATTGTATTAGTTCCCAGTGGCTGCTATATCAAATGGCCACAAATTGGGTGCCTTACAACAATGGGAATTTCTTATCTCACAGTTTTAAAGGCTAGAATTCTGAAATCATGCTCCATATGAAGATCTATGGGAAAATCTCTTCTTTGCCTCTTTCCATTTCTGGTGACTCCAGATGGTCCCGGACTTGTGTCTGCGTTGCTCTAACCTCTGCCTCCGTCTTCACAATGCCTTCTCCTCTGTGTCTGTGTCTTCAGTTCTTTCTCTTCTAAGAACACTGGTCATTGCATCTAGGGCTCACCCTGCTAACCTGAGATGCTCTCATCTCAAAATCCTTATTTAATTACATTCACAAACACCCTTTTTCCAAATGAAGTCACACTCAGGTTGCAAGGGTAAGGATGTGGACATATCTTTGGGGGGTCACCATTCAATCCACTGCACTGATATTAACAAATGATTAAATACATAGGTAGGTAAGTGGGGAAAACAGACAAATCTCCAGTGCTTAAAATTCCAAATAATACATGTGCAGATTCCCCCAATAAGGAGGTGGAGCATAACTCTCCTCTCCTTAAGGGTGGCTACACATATCAGATTCCTTCCAAAGAGGACCACATGGAACTGGGTGGAGAAATAGTGACTTTACTATAGAGAAACGAACAAACACTAGCCCTGCCAGGTGATCAAGGTTAACATCAACCATAAGTCATGTTAATATCATGTTCCTCTGATATGATTTGATGAAAACAACATTTTACGTGTGTGGTCTCCCTTCCAAAAGCCCACAATCCCAGTTTAGCCATAAGAAAAGCACAAGACAAACCTCATTTCTAAGACATTCCACAAGATGTCTGACCAGTACTCTCTAAGCTGTCAAGACCTTCACAACAGAAAAGACTGAAAAACCGACACATGACAACTAAATGTAACATGGGATTCTGGAACAAAAAAGAGGTATTAGTAAAAACTAAGGAAATTGGAATAAAGTATGGGCATTCGTTAATCATAATGAATCCATATATCGGTTCACTAGTTGTGACACATGCACTATACTAATATAAGATACTGATACTGGGTGTAGGGCTTATGAGAACTCTATACTGCATTCACAACTTTTCTGTTAATATAAATTAACTGAAAATAAAATATAATAGCCTATTCTAAAATAAAAGGGCTATTTTAAAATATATATAATGCTACATTCCTGTGATAAAGGGATGAGGGCCTACACCAGGGTTGCTCAGCCTGAGCTCCACTGACATTTTGCTGAGGGGACTATCCTGTCCTTGTATGATATCGAACAGCATTGCTGGCCTCAACCCACTAGATCCTAGTAGAAACCTCTCTACTCCACTGGGGACACCCAAATATACCTCCTGACATTGTCAAATATTCATTGCTATTACAATTTATTATAATATTTATTTTATTGTTTTGTAATTCTTTAGTAATGATTTTATGATTCTACTCCTCACTCTTAAGATTAATAATGTCCTACAAGCAAATGTAAGGAGCCCTCAAATTCAAACTCAGCCCCTCAAACCCTTAGCAGCAGATGCATCTCAGAAAAGCAACATGATGCGTGTTGACAGCTTGTTCCGAATGTCTTCACCTGTGACCCAAGCTGAGTAACCAGCTTATTGAACAGCTAAATTTGATGAGATTCAACCAGGAACAGGCTTTGTTTTTCTCCAGTTACTTCCAATGTGCCTCATCTGAGATCTGTTCCCACTTCTTGCTGGCATCTCAGAAAGATAACAGAGCTTTTGAGTCAGTTTCAGAGGTAAGAAGAGCCTTCTTAGAAATGCTTCCAGCAGACCTGACTCACTGATCTAACACAAGCTTCAGTCTCCCACCCATTTCACAGCGCAAGCCTGCCCTCAAGAGGGGCCACGCGGCGTCCACACTGCCCCTCCCCATCCTGCTGCCTGCGCCTCCAGATGTGGGCAGGCAGGAGCAGGATCAGAGAAACAGTTAATATCATGTCTCTCATCCAGGATCCAGGGTGCTAGTGAGCCCCCACTGGGTGGAGGTCTGCATGGGGACCCCCCCTTGGGGCCCAGGGAAGGATTCTCAGAAGCCCATGGGGAGCTCTGCCCTGGAAAACGATGTTGGCTACACCCACAGGCCCCCTCCTGCCCTGGGCTCATCCACACAACTCCTACTGCTGCCATCCTCTGACCATCAAAATCTCTCGGGCATCATGCCTTTGAGACATTTTCTCCCAGGTTACCACTCGTGATTTCATTTGGACCATAGAAACGCCCTGTACTGCAGGAACCAAAGGGGGGCTGCCCCAAACTGTGCCGCTTGGCATATTGATTCTTCGACTCAGAACAATGGGGAAACAGCAGAAGCACTGCAGATTCTCTCACCTGTCTCTGTCCCCCTTCCTAGAAACTGGAAAGTAAATCTGCACTGGAAGGTACCCTCCCTGCACCAGGAGGTAGAGAGATGGCCTTACCATGAGAGACAGGAAATACAAGCCCAAAGAAGCCTAGACGAGCAAACCCATGACTGTCATTTACTAATTTACTAATTTACTACCCCAGCCCAAAGGCTGGTTAAAACTCCTGACTAAGTGAAGTTCCCAAACCTAAGTGTTCTTTGTCCTGTCAATTCCTCACCCATTTAGGTCTCTGTGTCTAAAGTGTATAAAAGCTGCACA